CGACATTTCTCTTTATTTTCTCATTTCCTTCTTCGCTTTTATTTTTTATCTTTGAACTTCATTTTCTTCTGTACATCATCTACCAGTACTAGTGACCATCTGTACACCAACCAGTACTAGTGACCATCTGTACACCAACCAGTACCAGTGACCATCTGTTCAGTGACCATCTGTACACCAACCAGTACTAGTGACCATCTCTACCAGTACTAGTGACCATCTGTACACCAACCAGTACTAGTGACCATCTGTACACCAACCAGTACCAGTGACCATCTGTACACCAACCAGTACTAGTGACCATCTGTACACCAACCAGTACTAGTGACCATCTGTACATCATCTACCAGTTCCAGTGACCATCTGTACACCAACCAGTACTAGTGAGTGGAGATGGTGTATGGGTTCCTGATGTGTGTCTTGTTACCTCAGTTTAATTAGGGTTTATTTTCATGGCTTCGTTGGTCAGGTAATCTCTCAGGTATGAAGTGAATCCCTGAGACTGTATGAGAAAAGATGGTCAGGATTTAGTTCTTTCTTAAGGGAAGGTTTTATTTTTCACTTTTTTGTGTGGATTTTATTTGTGATTATTTTTTTTCTATTTTCTATTATTTTATTCTATTTTTCTATTACGTTTGTTTAGATTTTTTATAACTGGTTTTGTTTTCATTATTTTTATTTATTTTTATTATTTTTTTTTCGTATTTTCATCTCGTAAGCTTTTTTTTATTTGCTTTAGTTTATATTAATGTTTTTAATAGTTTTTTACGGTAACTTTATTTAGTATTTTCCTGGGCATTTAAATTTTTTTCCTTGATATTTTTAATTTTTTTTTAATTTTAGATGTTTATCGACTTTCTAAACATCTTTATTTTGCTGTTAAATATTTTGTGTCTTTATACACTACTTTTTATTTGTTCTCTTGTCTAACGTGATGACTGTTGCTCAGCCATATGTCAATAACACTCACAGATTTCCACAACAGGTTTTGAAAATAATTATAATTGGCCCATAAATAGGTGACGCTGTTAATAAAGGCTGGAGGTCAGGAGTAAAGTAACTGACATGTGATATAATTAATTTTCTTGGGTTTTCTTGGATTTTCCTCGATCTCGTTTTACCGTCTTCTACAGGGGAAATAATTAATAGTGTGAACTGTGATTTTCTTTTGTGTTTAGTGTGTATTACATTAACTCAGAATTCTCCCTCTGTTATTTTTGTTTTAAGTGGCAGTGGTTCTCAGATTAAATAACGAAAGGGCACACGTCAGATATCAGAGAAAATATCCACCTTTTTCCCATGAAGGGCATTTTCAGAACTTGTGCTTGGGTTAAAAATAATTATAAATAAGTTATTTTTGTTTTGAAGGTGAATTAAATAAGTCATGTATACATTTGGAAATAAGACTTCCTAAATTTTTTTAGACAAGAGCAATAAACTAATTTGTGTTATAGGAAAAATATAAACTATTAAGAAACTAAAAAAAAAATATCAGAAAAATTAATAAGTAATACAAAGTAAAGCAATAAAGTAATGGTTTAGTGATAAAAACATATAAAAGTAAATAGATTAATTAAGAGTCAGAGGCAGGTAAATATCAGGTGGTGATGTATATTAACCTTGAGTAATGATGCTCTTACTCCACTTCCATCCCTCTCACACTCCACTCACCCCTCTCCCACAGTCCTCTATATCCCCTCTCACCTTACTTTCCCCCCAGTTTTCCTCATCACTTCTGTTCCACTCCCACTCTGCCTCTCTCTTATCTATTTCACACTCTTCTCATACCACTTTCACTCCTTTTAATTATCTTTTATCCCTCTCCCATCCCACTCATTCCTCTCCCACCCCTCTCATTCCTCTCCCACCCCTACTCTTCACTTCTCTCCCACTCCTGTCCCACTCATCCTTCTCCCACCTTGTCCCATTCCTCTTCCACTCATTTTCTCCCACTCAGTTTTCTCGCATCCTACTCTCACTTCTCTCCCACATCTCTTCCAACCCTCTCCCACCCCTCTACCTGTGCCTCAAGTCACCTCGCCTCTCTCATTAAGTCCTGAGGGGATAAATGTTTCTTTCATAGTGTGATTTTCATTTAGTTTTTTCACTATTATCATCTTGAGAATTGTGTACAGCACCCAGGGAGATCCCCAGAGTAATTATTTTGGTTATTTCTTTCTTTCTTTCTTTCTTTCATTCATTCATTCATTCATTCTCTTTTTTTTATTATTGTCTTTCATTCATTCTCTCCTTGTTATCTTATCTATTTCATTAATTCTCTCTTCTCCTCCTACTCCTCTTTCACTCATTCTCTTTCTTGTCTAGTTTATATATGTCTATTGTTTTCTGCTTCTTTATCTATTATTTATATTCTATTAGTATTCCATATTATTTCTTTTTCTTCCTCTTATTCACCTCCTCCTCCTTTTTTTCTTCTCCTCCCATTTCACTTTCTCCTTCTCTCCATTTCCACCCCTTTCCTCTTTACCCACTTCTTTTCCCTTCTCCTCCTCCATTTTCCTTCACCTCATTTTAGTAACTTCCTTATTTTCTTCTCATTCCTCATCCCTATCCTCTCCCACCCTCTTCTTGGCTTATCTCTTCTTCTCCCACCCACTTCTTACCTTCTATCTCCTCCTCTTCTCTCACTTCCTTCCTTCACTTTGTTTCTCTTCTATCTTCCCTCTCATCTATCTACATCTTTTTTCTCACCCATCTTCTTTTTTCCTGTAATCCTCTCACCACTCACCCCTCATTCCCTTATTCTTCTTCTCATTACCTCTCTTTACCTCATTCTATTAACTTTCAACACATACACACACACACACACACACACACACACATTATTCTCATTCAGAACAAAAAGTCTCCATATCAACTGTACAAAACGCGCTGTGTGAACTAGGAGGTAATACACAGCAGCCCCACAGCAACACAGCATAACAGTAGCAGCCCCACAGCATAACAGTAGCAGCCCCACGGCATCTGTTCCTCAGGGCAGGTAAGCCCCACAGCATAACAGTAGCAGCCCCACGGCATCTGTTCCTCAGGGCAGGTAATCGTCTGCGACAGGAAGGCGAGGAAAGTGGAAGGAAGGGAAGGAAGGGAGGGGAAGGGGATAGGGGAGGGTTCGAGGTGAGGGAAGGGTGTGTAAGAAAAGGTTTGGGGTGAGGAAGGAGGTGTAAGGGAAGGGTTTTGGGGTGAAGGAGGGGGTGTAAGGAAGGGTTTTGGGTGGAGGAGGGAGGTAAGGAAGGGTGGGGTGAGGAGGGGTGTAGGGAAGGGTTTTGGGGTGAGGGAGGGGGGTGTAAGGAAGGGTTTGGGATGAGGGCGGGGGTGTAAGGAAGGGTTTTGGGTGAAGGAGGGAGTGTAAGGAAGGGTTTTGGGTGAGGGAGGGAGTGTAAGGAAGGGTTTTGGGGTGAAGGAGGGGGTGTGAGGAAGGGTTTGGGGTGAGGGAGGAGGGGGGACCTGTTAATAGTAAACACACCTTCCTCCGGCCAACCTTACAGCTACTTCAGTAATAAATTAGAGTTTAGTGAATTAATACAGGATTCTAATATACGATAATTATGTGCCTTGATATGCAGTTCTGTTCTGCGGTTTTCGTTGTGTGTGTATGTATGTGTGTGTGTGTGTGTGTGTGTGTGTGTGTGTGTGTGTGTGTGTGTGTGCGTGTGTGTGTGTAGGACCAAATAACCACAATGCATTACCAAAAATACTTCCAACATTATATTATAGAACATTGACAACAGACATCAGAACACAGAACACAGCCGTGGGAGTAGAGAGATAATTATACAATATGCAGACCTGTTAATGTGAACTTTATGAATTAATAAATCATCAGTAATTAACCTGCCTAACGAGATTACTGAAAGATTGATAACGCAGAGGTATATTTCGTAGTAAATGAATAACACCAGGAGAATTATATGAGTAATAACGTTATTAGTGAATATTAAATATTTTTTTATTTTTATTTTTGAGACAATAATCCATTTAGAATATGTAATTATCAGCGAATTAATCCATTTATGCTGGGAGAGACTACAGTGTATTAGTAACATCTGTTCTGTTTCATAATATCACAATTGGAACTAAACCTGATACCAATCCAATTTACTACATATAAATAATTACATAAATAAAGTAAGTCAAATATAAGTAACCGCACATGTAAGTAACCCCATATGCAAGTAACCCCACATGTAAGTAACCCCACATGTAAGTAACCCCATATATAAGTAACCCCACATGTAAGTAACTCCACATATAACTAACCCTACATGTAAGTAATCCCACATGTACGTAACCCCACATGTAAGTAACCCCACATGTAAGTAACCCCACATGTAAGTGACCCCACATGTAAGTAACCCCACATGTAAGTAACTCCACATGTAAGTAACCCCACATGTAAGTAACCCCACATGTAAGTAAACCCACATGTAAGTAACTCCACATGTAAGTAACCCCACATAAGTAACCCAAAATATAAATAACTCCACAAATAAGTAACCCCCACATAAGTAACCGCACATATAAGTAACACCCCACATGTACAGTAAGTGGACCACACAAATAAGTCACTTACCTGAACATAAAATAACACCAACCTGAACAAACTCTCTAAATCAACCTTGTGCGTCACTGTTTAGAGTTAATTTCAGACTGTGTTGTGATTCTTACAAAGGTGTACCGGCGTCGTGACTTCATTGATAAAATTACAGAGTATCAAGGGAATGGCGGATAAACCCAGGGCTTTTTGACCTGGGAGTTAGGTAATGTAGATGGATCTTGTAATCTAGTTCAGTTCAGAATTACTGTTTCATCTGCTTGAGGTCTTTGTATTCATCTTTTTTTTTCTTCAAGATACGGGTTTGTGTGTGTGTGGGTGTGGTGTGTGTTGTTTTAAAGATTTTAAATACTGAACGGATAACTGAAATAGACAAGTCTCTACCTGGATGACCACCTACCTCTAGTATAGGACCACCTATCTCTAGTATAGGACCACCTACCTCCAGTATAGCACCACCTACCTCTAGTGTAGCACCACCTACCTCTAGTGTAGCACCACCTACCTCTAGTGTAGCACCACCTACCTCTAGTGTAGCACCACCTACCTCTGGTGTAGCACCACCTACCTCTAGTGTAGCACCACCTACCTCTGGTGTAGCACCACCTACCTCTAGTGTAGCACCACCTGCCTCTAGTGTAGCACCACCTACCTCTAGTGTAGTGTAGCACCACCTACCTCTAGTGTAGCACCACCTACCTCTAGTGTAGCACCACCTACCTCCCCAGTGCAGCAATCACCTACCCCAGTGTAGCACCACCTGCCTCAGTGTAGCACCACTCACCTCCCCAGTGTAGCACCACCTGCCCCCAGTGTGTAGCACCACCCACCCCAGTGCAGCACCACCCACCCCAGTGCAGCAACCACCCACCTCTAGTGTAGCACCACCTACCCTAGTGTAGCACCACCCACCCCAGTGTAGCACCACCTGCCCCCAGTGCAGCACCACCTGCCCCCAGTGTAGCACCACCTACCTCAGTGTAGCACCACCCACCCCAGTGTAGCACCACCTGCCCCTAGTGTAGCACCACCCTACCCCAGTGTAGCACCACCTGCCCCAGTGTAGCACCACCCACCCCAGTGCAGCACCACCTACCCCAGTGTGTAGCACCACCCGCCCCAGTGTAGCACCACCCATTCCCAGTGTAGCACCACCCGCCCTCTAGTGTAGCACCACCTACCTCTAGTATAGGACCACCTATCTCTAGTATAGGACCACCTACCTCCAGTATAGCACCACCTACCTCTAGTGTAGCACCACCTACCTCTAGTGTAGCACCACCTACCTCTAGTGTAGCACCACCTACCTCTAGTGTAGCACCACCTACCTCTGGTGTAGCACCACCTACCTCTAGTGTAGCACCACCTACCTCTGGTGTAGCACCACCTACCTCTAGTGTAGCACCACCTGCCTCTAGTGTAGCACCACCTACCTCTAGTGTAGCACCACCTACCTCTAGTGTAGCACCACCTACCTCTAGTGTAGCACCACCTACCTCTGGTGTAGCACCACCTACCTCTAGTGTAGCACCACCTACCTCTAGTGTAGCACCACCTACCTCTAGTGTAGCACCACCTACCTCTAGTGTAGCACCACCTACCTCTAGTGTAGCACCACCTGCCTCTAGTGTAGCACCACCTGCCTCTAGTGTAGCACCACCTACCTGCCTCTCCAATATTCACCAGCATAATTGACTTTTCTATTGCAAGTTTCTTTTTAACCTTCTCTTAACCTTTCTCAGTTTGATTTCCTTTTATAAGCTTAAATATCAGATTACTATAGTTTTTTGTAAGTTTTATCAGAGGTTATTGATTTGAAACCAGATTTTTTCGTAGTTTTAGGAAAATAAATATATTTAGTTTTTTATGTAATTTTTTTTAAGGTGTTGAGGAATTATTTTGATTGTTTTTCAAGTTAACTTTTATATGAAGTTCGATGTTGTTATTTTTATAGTTTATAAAAAAAAATTCCATCTTCAATAAAATCATATTAAGATTATTTTCCAATACGATGTTAATAAAGAGTTCAAGTTGTGTTGAACACACATCCACAAACCAAGTTTTCAGCTCCTTATCCTGCTCCTACAAAACTCTTGATGGAAATTATTGTACAAATCAAATCTTGCAAGTAATGTATGAAAATTTTGCATATATCACTTCATTATTAAAAAATCTCCAGGGTACCGTATCTTAATTGTCATTCGTAGCTTTTAAAATCCGAGTATTGCAGTAATTAGCCATTTAAACAAGAATATTGCAATATTGTGAATTTAAAACCAAAATATTGCAGTATCACGCCATTCAAAACTAAATCTTCCAGTTGGTGTATCAAGTCGACATTCATAGCTTGCAATATCACACCTTTAAAGTTGCCGATGCATTAAAGTTGTATAGAAAGATCAAGAAGAGTGGTGAAAGGCTCGTCTTTAAGGTTATATTTTACAGCTGCAACCTTTGTTTCCGAGCCGAGGAAAGCGCTGGGATAAACAGGATATTTAATACAGTCCTTATGAAAGCCACCTTTTATCCTCCTTCAGAGCGGCGGCGGCCTTTTAGTAAAGACTGCCGCCCCTCACGGGGTCTTCTCTCCTCCTCTTCTGCCGCCCCTCACGTGGTCTTCTTCCTCCTCTTCTGCCGCTCCTCACGTGGTTTCCTCCAACTCCTCTACTGCCCCTCACGTGCTGTCTTCCTCCTTCTCTTCCTCCTCCCCCTCCCCCCCTCTTCCTCCTCCCCCTCTCCCCCCCCTCTTCCTCCACCTCCCGCGACTAACCAGGCGATGCTCAGCTGGGTGCACAAGTCAAGTGGGACACAACCTTAATTAGATTGTCTCTCCTAATAGAGGCCCAACGTAACCTAATATAACTATTAGAATTTGAGGCCTATTCAGACTGGGACCTATTAGGACTAGAACCCATTAGGACTAGAACCCATTAGGACTAGAACCCATTAGGACTGAGACCTATTAGGACTAGAACCCATTAGGACTAGAACCCATTAGGACTAGAACCCATTAGGACTGAGACCTATTAGGACTGGGACTGTGACCCATTAGGATTGGGACCCATTAGGACTGGGACCCATTAGGACTGGGACCCATTAGGACTGAGACACATTAGGACTGGGACCTATTAGGACTGAGACACATTAGGACTGGGACCCATTAGGACTGAGACACATTAGGACTGGGACCTATTAGGACTGAGATCCATTAGGACTAGGCTTATTGGGACTGGGACCTATTATGGCTAGGACCTATTAAAACTGGGACCCATAAGAACTGGATCCCATTAGGACGTCGGTTCATTAAGATTGAAGCACCATCGATATTGAAGTCCATGAAGATTCAAACTCATTAGGACTGAAACTTAATAGGACTGAGGTCTAATAGGACTTATCGGACTGAGGTCTTATAGCATTAAAACCTGAAAGGACTTAAGCCTAATAGAACCGAAGCCTAATAGGAGGTCGTCACAGTAGACACAGACTTCGTTATTCTACCTGAAGATGCTCTCAGTAGACCTTAAGAGTCTTTTAATGTAATTTTCTCTAATTCATTATCATTATTTATTTACCTTGGCTTCTGGTCACTTTCGTAAACCGAGATTAAGGTTAATTTAATCCTACGAAGAGGGATTGTGGTTTCATCTGTGTTTTCTGCCAAGATTAACTTTGATTTTCTTTGTGGTTTTGGGGTAACGTAGGTAATTTATTTATTGATGGAAGGAATTTAAACGACTTATCTACCAAAGTGTGGTTTGAGAAGAAGCAGTTATACTATTAGTATATAATACATGATAAACAATGACATTTTTCTTCTCATTCTTAATATATCACTGTAGTATAAGAATCTTCAAAATCACCTAATTTTATTATTATTATTATTATTATTATTATTATTATTATTATTATTATTATTATTATTATTATTATTATTATTATTATTATTATTATTATTATTATTATTATTGCGACGAAAGTCTTAAAATTCAGCAAAAGTACCGGTTTCTTTTACTCTTATCTTGTAAACTCGAAAAAAATTAAATATCGCTGACACTATGAGGCGACACCGATATCAATCATGTGTTCACCTTCACTCATGTGGTCATGGGCGCATATATCACCAGCCCAGCATATGAAAATTAATCTACATATTCCAGTCCTGCAATCTATGGTTTCATCACATTGTGACCTTCCTTCTTTCAGTCACTACACTTTTGTTCTCTCTGGCAACTAAATCAGAGCTAAGAAAGAAAGAAATACACACACACACACACACACACACACACACACACACACACACACAGAGAGAGAGAGAGAGAGAGAGAGAGACCCGGAGTAGTCTTTCTACTATGGTGTAAACCCTTAGAAACTTACCATTGACCCTTCAGTAATAAGACACATTAAAGATGATATAATTATTAAAAACAATAGAAGCAACTTGTGTGTATCTCCTTAATATAAGATTTATTCAATGGTAATAGTAAATAAAGGTTCTGGAATAGACGTGGAAGAGAGATCTGGCTTTGGGTCCTTATAAACGGCAGCTTACCGTCGAGGAGCAAACCTGAATGGAAACTTAACATTACGATGATGATTCGTGTATTTACGCCTTAAGCTCCGTCTGTCTGTGTGTGTGTGTGTGTGCGTGTGCATATGGAGTGTTAAGTGGCATTAGAATACTGACCTATAAATCTAAACTACGGGAAATTACGAGGCAGAATCTCAAGGTGGATGAATGGAATCGAACCGTCTATTGTTCACCTCACCAACCCCGGCACTCAGTTTAACGTTCATGATAAGGTACACAGAGAGAGGGCATGTAAGTTTAAGTCACCCCATTCATATCTTCTCTTATTTTTGTGTCTGCTGGTTGATAAATAGTTTTAAGTATGTAGGAGGTTGTTGTTGGTGCATGACCGTATAGAGAGAACAAGAACATGAAGCTTAAAGATTATCAGTTTCCAGTGCATGACGTTACAGAGAACAGAAACATATAATTTATAGATTAGTCTCTAGTGTATGATCCCTTGAAGGTCTCGTATTATCAGGCATCTTTATAATCAATCATATAAACAACAATAACTCAGAATACACAATAAAACAAGATCTAAAATACACAAATAAACGAATAATTTCCACCCACATTAAGCTCAACATATGGCAACAGAACTGGCTTTTAGACTTGAGTAATTTCGTAGCCTTAATTTCTTTGTCATTATATCTTCATGAAGCTCCATAATTAATGGTGCAGGAAGCTCACAGTGGTTTATGATGCCTTAAGGATGATATGTGGAGTTTAGTGTATCGCCCACCTCCTGTAAGTCCGGACATATGTAAACCATAAATTACAGGTAATACTCTGCCAGTCAGGTTAGCCCTCAGCCCTCAGACCTTACTCCTCCTCCTCTTCCTCCTAACAACCATCACCTCTCCTCTTCCTCCTCCTGGCAGCTCTCGCCTCTCTTCCTTCCTGGTAGCCCTCACCCCTCCTTCTCCTCCTACTGTCATCTCATCTCCTACCCCTCTTCCTCTAGTCAAACATCACCCCTCCTCTTCTTCCTGGCATCCTCAACCTTACCTCTTGCCGGAAGACCTCACCTCGCCTCTTCCTCTTACTCCTCTTCCTCTTCCTCCACCTCACTTCCTCTGGTCCAGCTCGCCGGAACTCCCCGCTCCTCAAGTTAAGCTTTTTCCTGGAATCCAAGAATTTCAGAGCATGTATCCAGGATATTCCAACGAGTGGCGGGACCTCCTGGACCTGGGCCACTCCTCCCCTAGCCACTCCTCACCCCAGCCACTCCTCCCCCAGCCACTCCTCACCCCAGTCACTCCTCACCCAGCCACTCACCCCAGCCACTCCTCACCTCCTCCCCAGCCACTCCTCCCCCACCCACCCCTCCTCCCAGCCACCTCCCCACCCACTCTTCCCACCCACCTCACCCCAGCCACTCCTCCCCCCACCCACTCTTCCCCTACCCACTCCTCTCCCAGCCACTCCTCTCCCCAGCCCTCAACCAACACTCCAGCTAATGGTTCACGTTTTATGCATATCTTTATTTTTCTCTATAATTTTCGTTCCATTTGGATTTATTTCACTATCAAATCCTGTTTTTTTTATATACAGTAAGTAATGAAGGATAGTATAATATTACCCTGAAATAGTATCTACAATTTCAACGTTATGAATTATTATTTTTAACTTGCATTCTGAGTCTTTATGTTCGGGTTGCATTCCAAATGTACCTCTTGCAGATTAAACCATTCCAGTCCATTCTCTCGCACAGTTAGGTGTCTGTGACGGCTGAATTATTCCCACGATATACCTGGAATTATATGTCGTTGTTTCTCCCAGGGTGGTCGTGGGTCTGCTTGTTTATCTCAGGATGGTCGTGGGTCTACTGGGGGGTTGTTGACATACGTCCTCCCACATCACTCCATAACACCTCCACACTCTTCCTTCCTCTAGCTTGCCTACAACGCACTCGCTCTCACTTTCCTTGTAACCTCTTCCTTCCCTCCCCCACTCTTTAAAATTTTGGTAAATAGCGTCATTCTGTACGGCTTTGCATGGACTGGAGAGAAAAAGGATGAAGATTTGTACGGCTCTGTTTCCTCAAGTCTCTGGGATAAATGTGATCTATTTAGTACATGACATTATTCTGGTTGTCATTAATAAGAAAACTTTACTCGAGCAA